AGCAGGAGGAACTGCAGGCTTTCACCTCCCAAAAGGAAATTCTTTTTAGCTTAGACAGATGCTGTATTCAGGACGTGCATTAGCTGAGAAAAAAAAAAGTTGATTGGAAATTCAATGGAAGATAAGGACTCTTGGAGAGTATCTTTTTGTTAACTTGCCCTAAGGCAATATTAGTAAAGGGAAGTGGGAGCAAGAAGGACTTACATCCTGAAGAACTGATTGTGATTACACTTTCCTGAACTTTCTAGAATGGACTTGGCATGTGATGTTCAGTGGCATCTTTAGCTCAAACGTGAAGGTTGGTTATTCCTGGGCCTAAGCCTTTGCAGAAATCAGCTGAAGTTGGCCTCCCCTCCGCGTTGTCAACTCACCTTCTCCCATCCTATCCGCGGGTGGCCCCACCTTTCGACGCCGCGGCTCAGCTTGCAGATCCCCACCTATTGAGCCCGACGCGCTTCTGCACCGACTTCTGCGTCTACTCACGCGCGCTGCCTGGGTGCGCAACATCAGCAGGCTAAGTCTGCGAACCCTCACGACGCTCTGATCCTGGGCAGAAAGAAACAAGCACAGGCTCGCAGAGCCTTGAGGAAGGGAGTGAAAAGGAGAGAGGGGAAGAAATAGAACCTCAAAGAGGAAGGGAGCTGGGAGGGAGGGGAGAGAGAGAAACAGACCATAAAAGAATGAAAGAATAAGAAAAAGGTTCACACATTCACACAGAGTATGAGTATGAGACAGAATACTATAGAAAAAGACACCAAGGAGAGACACACTTCAGAGAGAGAGAGAGGAGAGAGAGAGAGAGAGAGAGAGAGACTAGACGTGGGGACACACTCAGAGGGAGAGAATAACCCCTCCAAACACACAGCCTCCCAGCTCTCTCCTCCTCCAATGTGAGCTCCCTCTGGGCGGCGTCTCTCAATCACTTTGCTTTTCCCTCTCTCCTTTCCCGACCCCAGTACATGTAGAGACTGTATTTCCAGAAGACAGGCGGGCGACAGGGATTTCAGAGCGAGCCGGGCTCGCAGCCCTCTGTTTGTCCAGGTTTGGGCGGGGGGCGGCGGCCTCCCGGCATCTTGGGCTGGGGCCGCATTTTCGCACCGAGGAATAGGGAGGCTCTCGGCTCGCATTTTTCCCCCTTCCAGGAGAAAATTCCCTCCTCCTTCCCTCCCTCCATACATGCATAAATATATTAGGGGAACAGACAAATCTTCATTGTTCAGAAAAAAGCCGTGGAGGCTGCCTGGCTCTCCTGGCGGGGCTGTGCGAGGCTGGGAGGGGGGTGGGCAAGGGAGGGAGGCCGGAGCCGCGCGGATCCGGTGTCACGTTGCAGATTCCCACTAAAGATAATGAAACGTGATCTATTTTTCAGAACAGCAAGTGGATGGGAAAGAACCTTGACAACACAAAACTCATTTACTAATGGACTGGTTTTGGGTTTCTCTTCTCCGGGTCCGCAAATCGCCCAGCCTGAGCCCTCGACCTATTCAGACCTCGCGGGGAGCGGCGTCCCCCAGGAGGCAGGTGGGCGACCACTCCCGCCCGCTCCCACCGGCTCCGGCCGTCGGGGCTCGGGATCCCAAAGTTCTAGGGCACCAGGAGTTTCAGACTAAGCAGAATAAAAAGAAGAATGCTGTCACTTCAGCCAGGATTTGGGGGGGACTCCGCACTATCCCAGAGCCAAGGCGCTTTTTTATTCAAGAAACATCTCCCGAAGATCTTCCCTTCTAAATATCCTTAGGATATTTGTCGTTCTCGGTGGCAAAGGAATTCCAAGAAAGAGGACCCACCGCCCCAGAGCATCTCGTTCCAATACAAAGAGGAAATAAGTTGATCTCAGCCAGAGGTTTTAAAAACCAAGGCCTTAAGTCAAGGTACCCAGAACCCCTGGAGGGACTAGTGCCTCCGCATAGACCTTCCCAGAGACCAGTATCAGCACTTGGAGGTTACCTGTACCTCCGCACGCAAGAGCCCAAACCAGCATCGGCCGCTGGTGGCCAGTCGCGTTACCCTCGGGAGTCGCGATGCGGCGAAAGCAGTAGCTTGACTGGCTCGTTCCCTTTAAATCCGCGACGCATCTCTGTTTTTCGTATGATTTGCATTGACAGCAAAGGTTTTAAGTTACTAGAACAACTCAAACCTTTCTGTATGCGATTTAAAATGGATCATTTGGTTTATGTGGTTTGTAAATTCATGTCATTTTACTTCTTTTAGTGGTTTTCAGTGAAAGGTTCCATTTTGGGAAACCTTATATATCTGAGCCAATAATTAACATTTATAACAATTGGTTCCCCTAACCAAGGGATCGAAATAGCAGGTAGGCTCGTTGGTACAAAACGAATAGCACTTTCCCTTTCTAATTACGTGATCTATTGGATGAAAAGCGAGGAGAAAGGCTGGCTGGCCCGAACGTGGCCTCCGAGGATGAACACTACTTCTCACCAGCCCGGGAGCCGATGATCACCACATCTACATGCTTGTCTTTTCAGTTGCTGCCAACTTCTAGTTTGTACAGGTTCCTTTTGAAGAAAGATGAAAAGAAATAAGCAGGGAGATCTGGAGGAAAGAAGGAAAAGATCTGGAGAAAGGTGATCATTTTGGTGTCTAATTGTTATCTCTACTTCCCATCCTACCTTGTAAATTTATACCGATCTTATTGTCCTAGCTAAGGCTAGTTTCCTTACACAAAATTATTAATCATAAAGTACACCCTTACTCAACTTACCATTTGTCTTTTAAGAGCCATGGCTGTGCTTACAGAACCTCTCCCCACCCCCACACGTATACATTGTCATTCTGCACACTTGCTCCAGACGTCAGGGTATTAACTGATTTTTAAAGCTGAGTTTAAACCTCCGTTCCGGTCCTCACACAGCTGCCATGTCAATAAGGACTGCTCCAAGCAGAGACATTCCTTCTGGCAGGACACTGCAGACATCGTGAGCACTAAAATAAGATGGTGAAGGAAAATTACCGGACACAAGGGCTTGGACTCAGTCATGCCAGACTTCCAGTTTAGAAAGTAAGTCACTGGGCACACCATGTGGTAGGGACTCTTGAAATAATTGCACCCATTAAATGCATTTAAAAAACTATCCTAAACATAATGAAATAGAGTCTGTTTCCAAGGTCTAATTGCATGGGATACTACAGAGTTTCAAGCATGCAAAAAGCATTGTCTGGGAGTTCATCAAGAGTCTACTTGGAATCTCCTGAGAGGCAGCTAGGAGGTGGAAGCCATTCTGAGTTTTAAGTGTACATTGCAGGGTGCACTGGACTGGGTGCATTATTTTAAAACCATATAAATAATACAAGGGGAAACCCACATAGCACTTCTCCCACTTATGTCTCAATATACAAACAGTTCTGTGGTGCTGGGCTTTGGCTGACGGAACCAAAACATATTTAAAGAAGACAAGCGAGTTTAAAGAGTCTAGAATTTGTTCTTTGCATTCACTAAGAGGGCACATTCAAATCAAAAGCATTTTTGAAGTGTACTTAAATTCTGTTTTGAACTTATCTAATCAGAGATAAGTATAGTCATAAAGTCACTCTTCTCCCACCATTCAGCTTTCCTTATCTCCCAGCATTGTTCTTATCTCCTGACAGTCTCAGCTACTGACAATAGATTATCTTTGTTTAGAGACGCTAATTGTTTTCAAAATCTTTTTAATAATTGCTTTGGAACAAGGTGCGCAAATGAGGCTTAAGATAATTACAGCCTCATTTGTTTGTGCAGTTTTACTAAGCATTCTCCAAACACACACAAAACAGCAGATGATGGGACTGAAATTGCAGATCTCTCATTCCCTGACAGGAAAAAAAAAAAAAAAAAAGCCAGCACTGCAACACACACACACACACACACACACACACCACACCTCTTTATTTAATCTTCTTTGGAGCCACTGTTGCCCTCACTTTGAAGGCAATGTCCCTCTTAGATCAGGGCAAGGATTATGTTACAACAGAACTGCTATTGGAGCCGGACACAGTTTTATTTAATTTACACCCTATCCAGAGTATTTCATACGAGGGTCCCCAAACAGTTTTGCTAATAGCCAACCAAGTACAACTTCTTGGCATTCCTCTGTGGCAAAGGTGGTCTTGGAAAACGCAACTGTGCAGATAGGGAAACTGAGTCCAGAAGCCGACTTTAATCATAGAACATTAACATACCAAATCACAAATGAGTCCTCCTAATCTCTAACTGCTCAACATCTATGCTGTAAAGTCTCTCCACTTGGCCCCATCAGTAGCAGCCCTTTGAGAAAGGGGGAAGCGCTCTCCCTCCGGGAGTACTTCTGTCCTTTCGAAGTTGGTGGGGCCTGGGTGGCGGGTGTGGGGTGGGAAGAGGGGAGTAGGAGTGAGCGTGGTGGAGAGGAGGGAGGGATGCAGCGGAGGTTAGGTTTGGCTCCTGGAGCTGAAACCAGTCGGGAGAGAAGTTACTCTTCACGCGGTTGCAGCCCAGAGCCCAAGACTGCTCTTGTATTATTTATCGCGTTCCATAAGCTATTCATCAATGCATTATTTATTCATTCCAACATTAAGGTAATTAAATATGAGCTCACCGGGAAAGGACAAGTCTGCAAGGGACCGGAGTAAGGAGAGGAGGGGAATCAGAAGGTCTGGAGTCATTGATTTGTGCAGAGATGTGCGCTGTTGCCCTTAGGTAGCCCTGGAGAAGGGGCTCACATTGCAGTGTCCTAGCGCGCTCACTCACACCCACTCCTCCGCCCCCGAACAGCTCGATTCTCCCCCGACACCCCCCCCGTGACTTCCCACCTACTGGGGGGTTCTCCTCCTCCCACCACTACCTACCCCCCGCCCGGCTCCGCAGCCTCGCCCTCCCCGCGCCGGGTGGCGTGGCCTCTCCGCCCGGCCGGCGGCGCGCAGGCTGGCCAGCCCCGGATAGGCGCCGCTTGCAGCCAATCAGCGCGCCGGGGACGCTGCGCGCTTTAAGGTCGCTGCGGGGAGAACAGAAACCAAGTTCCCCGGCAACAAGCAGCATCCACCCGGCTAGAGGCTGGAGCCAACGAGGCCCAAAAGGCGGCGGAGTGAGTCGGTCGGTCGGTGTCTAGCGCGCACTCCACTCCACCTCCTGCTCCTCTCCCGCGGCTGTCCACCCCCAAGTTTCGACTTGCTCTTTCGCCTACGCAAAGCCTAGGGAGGGGGATAGGAGCAGCCGCGCCCCCTCCCTGAGGCCGCCGCCCCCAGCATTTCGGCTCCGTTCGCGGCAGCGTGCGCCCGGGCAGTGCGCCCCGGCAGGCCCCAGCCATGTCGATGCTGCCTTCGTTCGGCTTTACGCAGGAGCAAGTGGCGTGCGTCTGCGAGGTTCTGCAGCAAGGCGGGAACCTGGAGCGCCTGGGCAGGTTCCTGTGGTCGCTGCCCGCCTGCGACCACCTGCACAAGAACGAAAGCGTGCTCAAGGCCAAGGCCGTGGTCGCCTTCCACCGCGGCAACTTCCGCGAGCTCTACAAGATCCTGGAAAGTCACCAGTTCTCGCCACACAACCACCCTAAGTTGCAGCAACTGTGGCTGAAGGCTCACTACGTGGAGGCCGAGAAGCTGCGCGGCCGGCCCCTGGGCGCGGTGGGCAAATATCGGGTGCGCCGAAAATTCCCGCTGCCGCGCACCATCTGGGACGGCGAGGAGACCAGCTACTGCTTCAAGGAGAAGTCGCGGGGCGTGCTGCGCGAGTGGTACGCGCACAATCCCTATCCATCGCCTCGAGAAAAGCGGGAGCTGGCCGAGGCCACCGGCCTCACGACCACCCAGGTCAGCAACTGGTTTAAGAACCGGAGGCAAAGAGACCGGGCCGCGGAGGCCAAGGAAAGGTACGCGGCGCGCTTCCCGCTGCTCGGGCGACCCCGGGAAGCCCTCTCTCCCCCTCCGCCCGGTCCCGCTCCCGCAGGCACCCCCGCTGCATCCTCCCGGCCGCCTGGAGCCGTTCCGCGGGGCGGCGCCCGGGCCTCCGCGGCCCTGCAGCGAAAGTTCATGAACTCTGAGATCGCTTGCTAGGATGGGGGACTTGTGTGATTTGAGCGCCGGCGCGTGGGTTTCTTGGGGTGTGCGTGTAGGGAAATATTGGCTCTAGGTTTGTCTTCCTGTCTCCCTGCCTGGTTGGTGCGAGTATGGGGTAGAGGGTGATTTTTCTAGATGAACTGGAGAGGAAGAGTTGGTTGCTATTGCGAGGAAAGGGGTTCGGTAGGGCTGAGGGTCTCGAACCTCTTTCCTCTTGCTTCCCCGAGGGGTGGGGCTGGCCTGAGACATCTCCTCTGTCCCCACCTCGCATCTGTTTTTCACTCCCTCACGGCCAGTAGGCTTTGGAGTGAGAGGGCACTGCTTCATTCTGCGCTGGCTGTACAAAGGGAGGACTCTTTCAAAAGAAATTCATACACAAAAAGGGAGCTTTGGGAGAGTTCGCGCTGCCTTTGCTCCGGCGCCCCAGGCCCAGAAAGGATTGCCTTTTTTTGCCGAGCTTCGCGCGTGGTCCCGCTTCGCGGCGAGTCTGGAGGGCTGTCCGCACCGCCGACCGCGGGCGCGCTGAGGGTCTCCAGGAGCGCGCTCGCAGCTCCCCGGAGCGCAGAAGGCAATTAAAAAAAAAATACAAAAAAAAAAAAAAAAAAACCCAACCCAAAAAAAGCCCTGTCTTTGCCTCCAACCACGAGCCAACATCCCGAGCCACCTGGCCGGGCTCCATCCTTCCCCTGCAGAATTCCCGACCGTGACAGGGAAGAGCTTTGGGGAGGCGGCCGCCGCGCGTATTGCTCTCCGGGAGGCAGAGGACTTTGGGGAAGACTGTCTCGGGCTTTCTTTGTTGGCCTCGGAGCCTGGGGCCCGAAGATGTCGCCTCTGCGGTCCCCTCTGGGTGGAAAAGCACAGAGCTTGGGTAAATGCAGTTGAAGTGGGCTTTCTGAGAGGGACTTCGCGGGCAGGGGAGAGAAACCTGGAGAGAGATCGGCGGCAGGGATGGAGGGGAACTGTGCTCTGGGGGCGGGAGAGGCGAGGGCTTCCTCAGAAACCCTGAGGTTTGCTACTACCGAGTGTGGCGCCCGCGAAGGGGGACGGGGACTATGGGGTTCCAGGGAGACTTCAGTTACAAAACGGCCGTGCTGCAGCCAGGCCCGAGGGCCCACTCCCTGTTGAAATCGGAGAGACTGGCTGCGCTCCCTGTGTTTACCCAGGTCACTGGGCCGCTTTGGCCGCCACTTCCCATGACCTGTCCTGTGTCTCTGAAACCGCAGCCTCCGGCCAGGGGGGCAGGGGAGCTCGACATTTAATTGTTTCCTCAGATGGGAACAGGGCAATTGACTTGATTCACCCCAAACATCTGTGCGTTGGGTAACTGTCCCCTGATCGTTTTCTTCATCACCAACAACCATTTGCTGGAAGAGTTTCACACTTAGTTACTGCTGAATGCGGTGCTAGTTGAGAGATATTTAAAAAGAGCTGAACAAATTTTAAAAGATTTTGTGTGTTTCAAGTAAGTCCTTGTGGTTTAACTTTCTAAAATACGCCAGTAAAGGACCTGGCTCCTCAAGAGCTGTCTCCTGGCTCCTCTTTCTCCAGTCTCCTCTGCTTCCTCACTTACCCTAGGACCCTTGGGGTGGGTGGGAGGGCAGGGAGCCTCCATTTGGGTCAATGACTGATTGCACAATGGCCCTTTCCTCCGTCCAGCTTCCCTCCCTCCATCTCACACTTTTTTAACCTACTTTTTTTTTTTTTTTAACCATATGGTGTTGTCCTCTATTTCTTAGGGAGAACACCGAAAACAATAACTCCTCCTCCAACAAGCAGAATCAACTCTCTCCTCTGGAAGGAGGCAAGCCGCTCATGTCCAGCTCAGAAGAAGAATTTTCACCTCCCCAAAGTCCAGACCAGAACTCGGTCCTTCTGCTGCAGGGCAATATGGGCCACGCCAGGAGCTCAAACTATTCTCTCCCGGGCTTAACGGCCTCGCAGCCCAACCACGGCCTGCAAGCCCACCAGCATCAGCTCCAGGACTCCCTGCTCGGCCCCCTCACCTCCAGTTTGGTGGACTTGGGGTCCTAAGTGGGGAGGGACTGGGGCCTGGAATCGAAGCGGTGACTAGGGACACTTGTAAATAGAATTCAGGAACATTTTTTGCAGCTTGTTTCTGGGGTTCTTTGTGCATAAAGGAATGGTGGACTTTCACAAATATCTTTTTAAAACTCAAAACCAACAGTGATCTCAAGCTTAGTTGCATTCTTCTCTCAGACTCTTTCTACTTTTGCATTTCCCCTCCCAGTACAAAGATCAGGAGAAAAAAAACCCAAACAAACAAAGGCACCCAGCCCCCAAGTCTTGGTTTTGGACAACCCTTGTGTCTACTTCAGTAGCCTGTCTTTCTTTTCAATGAATGGGAATTACAAATCAACTGAATTTTAATTATTTCCTTTTAGTTTATATATGGAAAAATGTTTGGGAAGAGGAAAAGGAAATGAAAGAAAGAGGAAAGAGAAAGAAGTCAAAATAGTAAAATAGTGAAATTAAGAGCCTCCTGTCTGGGAGGAGCTGGTTGCATTCTTAAGGTGAATAGGAAAAATATGATCTCATAGCCTTTTTTGATGAGGAAAATTAAGTTTACATTTTTCATACTTAGTGTTAAGCAATTTTACGTAGATTAAAATGAAAGATCAGTATTAGGGGGGAAAACAAGTGCCTAAACGTCTTAATGCTCTCTATGTGAGACAGTTAGAAATAGAAGTGACCATTAGTAACACAACTATTTTTGTCAAATTTAGTGGTTTTTTTTTTTTTTTTTTTGGTTGTTGTTTGTTTTCTTGGGTTTTTTGATGGCAAACTTAAAAAATGTACCAATGTGAAAAAACACTTTCCTGAATGCCATGACTTCTCATGCCCCGGAAGCTTTCATATCTGTAGCCTGCTCCTGTGAAGGGTTTCTCCTGTTCCTAGTTTCTAGCTTGCAAAAATATGTGACAAATCTGGCAACCTGGTATTTGTTACTAAAACAGCATGTGTTTTCAGGTTTCTTTTCTATTGTACCTAAACCAGTCTAAATTAAAACTTAGTAGAACACCGGGAGTATGCTTCTGTTTCTGAAAGGTGAGTTGTTGTATTGTTGTCATTGTCCCCCTCCCCCTTTTAACAAATAGTTTTCTTTTTTCTTAATGATGGTTATGAAATGCAGGGTACTTTAAAGGCCATCACTTGAGCCCAGAGTGGTGACTGACTTAACGATGTGACAAAAAAGGAGTGAATTTAGCTTTGGGGTATTTATTTTTATTATTTAGATATGCAGTTTTGTTTACCACTAGCTCTTCTCCACAGCATTTATATATGTTAACTCAGCTCTTTTGTATTAACAAGTTTATGACAAGACTGTGAAAGAAAAATAATTTATCTGCTTGGGGGGGAAAAGGGAATTAGAACAAGGATAGCAACATTGTGAATTAATCTGTACAAATAGAAAGCAGACCAGCAAGATAGGAACTATGCAGTTCTGCCGAGTAGTGTCCAGAAAAATCCTAGTAATGATGTAGGCTCCATATTATTTTTGCCTGGGGCAAAAATGATGTATCTTTGTGTTTAGCTTTTACAATTAGTGAAACAAATGGCATCATTTATTAAAATTCTCAGGATAACAGGATTGGCTTGCTTGTGCTTTGTAAAATATTGTTCCCCAGAGAGAGTCTATTTATTTTCAGTCATGACAGTTTCATAATTTCGATTTTCCTCCATCTGTAAGTGTCACTATCAATATATTCATTTCTTTCTTACCTTTCCTTGATCTAGGGGAATGAGGTGTGGAGTGTGTGTGTGTGTGTGTGTGTGTGTGTGTGTGTGTGTGGAGGGGATTAAGACCTTATTTTGAGGTTTTCTTAAAATGTCAAATGCATTTGACTGAGTTCAAGGGAGAAAGGGTCACTGTACTTAACTGTAGTCACTTTTACTTATAAAGTAATTTTTCCGCTCAGTGATGGACAGATGTGCACACAGCCGCTTGGAGACCATCATTTGGGTTGGGAGCTCAGGGTCCCAATCTCCCTTGTTAGTGTTTTGGATCATTAAGTTGGTGTTTATTTAAGTCACTAGGGTGTTTATTCTCCACGTCTTGGGCCACGGAGAAATGCCACCCTCTGCAGGAGGGGCTCTCACAGGGGATCTCCGCACATTCTTCACATTCACTCCCCAAAACAAACACCCTGCACAAAGATAGCTTTCAATGACCCTGACAGGCTTCAAAGGACACCGCGGAAATCTCCCTGGAAAATAAGGAAGGGCCAATTACTTTAATTTCTTACATGCCCTCCCTTCCTACTCCGATGCCTACCCCCTGCTCTTCCAGCTCTGCTTAGTATAATTTTAGACTCATGGAAGTTCTGTCTCCCTGGGTGCCCCGGCCCACTTCCTGCTCCCTTGGTTGGTGAATCTTGGAAGTATCTACAGATCTGGCGCTGAGCGGAGCGGGGGCAGGTCCTGTAAAAAGCCCTTGTGATTACTGCTTGTAAACTCGTTAAAAGGACAATTTTCTGTCACAGTCATAAACTCTTTGTAAAACCCCTGGCACTCGATCCAGAGCGCGCATATTCCAGATGTGTTTAATAAGAAATTGCACAATATGCCCCCCTCCACCATGCTCGGCTCAGTCCGGCTAAACCAAGGACAAGCAGGAGGAGGTGAGAAAGCTGGATATTACTTTGAATTTTCTTGGCAATCATTTTAGTGCAATCATTAGGGAGAACTAACCATATTTTTTTTTCCTCGAGGAAATCTTCGAGGACCAGCTGTTAAGGGACCTCCAATTTACCTTCTCTGCGTCGCAGTTTAACGGAATCAAAAGCCACTTCGCGTTTCTTCTCTACAGATTTCATAACGATAGCCAAAACTAATGAACAATGGCTTACAACTTAAGTGCTTTTTAGGATGAATTCCTTCAGCACTTTGCCAAGTTAGATGAAAAAAAAAATACAAGGGAGAATTTTTTTTGACGTTTTAAATCTGATCACACGATTGTTCGGGTCCCGCTGCCTGCTGGACTTGACCTCTTGGTTGAGGACGAAGCTTCCTAAATCCCTGGAGGCCAAGGGGCTTGGCCAGCGGTTCCCGAGTTTTTGGCTTAGCGTGTAGGGACTCAAGAACCTCCCCCAAGCACCAAGAGCTGCAGGCAGGGAAAAAGGCGCCGTTGAGGCTGGACGCCGCTGGTCTTGAACCTATTTTCCTGGCAAGGACAGCTAGGTCTTGACCCCAGCTGGAGTGGAAGCTTCCAGGAAGAGGCAGTGGCCTTGGTGTTTTTGGGTGAACTCTGGGTTTGCTGGGCAACGACCCTTGCCACGCCGCTCTCCCCCGCACCCTGAGGACCAGCCAGGCACCTGGCCCTGAACCCAAGCGGAGCCGTCCTCTCTGCGCCACTGCAGCTCCCGCAGCCCGAAGGGGCTTCCCTCCACCGCCGCCCCCGCGCGGAAGTCTTTGGCAGAAGCTGCAGGCAGAACTCCAGGTTGGGGATCCAGAGGCTTTTGTTCCGCCCGTTTCCGGCTGCAGAAAACTAGGGAGCTTCTCCTACCACCCGCAGACTCCGGAGGCGGGTCTCGCCACTTTGCGCTCCCGGGCGCGGGCAGTCGCGGCGCCGCGGGTCTCTGCTCCCTGGCCCCGCGGGGCGGCTGCCAGGCTGGCCTCCCCGCACCAGGCAGGAGGCCGCGACCAGAGCTTCGCGGGACAATGCAACTACCCTGGCCTCGGCACTCCGGAGACACCTCCTCCGCCTAAGTGGGGGTTCCCTCTTTGCATCAAGCACCTGAGATCCGCGCGAGGAACGTGAGCGGCGTGGGATGCGCGGCGGCGGGTTTGGAGCAGGCGGGATACAGGCGTGCGGGATGCGCGCTGCTCCCCAGCCCCGCAGGCGGGAGCCCTCTCTGGCTCGCAGACCCGGTGTTTAGGGCCCAGAGCAGCTGCATCAGGTCCTAGCCTGGGTGGGAGGCGGCCTGGGCCCTGCCACCCATTCCCTGCTGCCCTTCCTGGCGGGTCTCCCGCTTGCGTTCGACAGAGGGGTGCCAGGCAGAAAAGGTGCCCCTTCCCGGGTTGGCTGCTAGAACTTCAAGGACAGAGGATGAGGCCCCAGTGTCTGGAGTGGGTAGGATGGGGCGCCAGCTCTTCTTTGGCTGGGCCCGGTGGGGCGTTCTCCCTTTCTTGCGCAACCAGGGTCTCAGTACCCGCCTCTCCTCTGCACTCCGCCAGGCGCCACAGCCGGGAGGCACCGGTCCAGGCCCGCAGAGAGCTTCTGGACAGGGCGGGGGCGGAGGACACATCCTGCCCTTTTTTGGTAGTTGAGTGGCTTTGGCAGGAACAGGTGGGTCAGGATTTAGGAAGTAGAGTTACTGGTGGTCCACGTTATTTCTTTTTCTTCTTGAGTTTTCCCCAGGAATAGGAGACTAAAACCTCTCCAGAACACGCTCTCCAGCCGGCCAAAGCCAGCGGAACCGTGCCCACGTCTGCCCACTTCGCACCTGAGGGGCAATTCATGCTGAGGGTACCCGAGGGCTCAGGCCCTTGGCCTGCAAGCTCGCTCGGCTGTGTTAGGCGTGGGGGTGGGGTAGGGGTGGGGGGACCTCTCAGCATTGCCAGCTCGGGTTTCCTCCCCCTAGTCTGATTGAATCCAGTAGTTCCACCTGGAAGAGTCTCTCAAGCGATGAGTGAAACATGAAGGAATGAAAAGAATCAAAATCTTGGGCGAATTGTTGGCTTATCGTCTATGCAGAAAAAGAGCTGGTCTGGAAAGGCCGCGTTTTCTCTAGTTTTAAAAACCAAGTGTGCACATATAGCTTCGCTCCAGCTGATGAAATTGGAAACTTGTTCTCCCACTGAGGACGACAATCAGTGTTTTAGACGCTGTGGTCCTTTCAGACAGCGAGGAACAACACTGCAGTAGCATTTAAAAACAAAGAGAAAGAGACTGCTTGAGGCGCGTGGCCGCCAGCCTCTTCCCCAATTTGGGTTTCAGCTTCTCTCCTTTTAACTTGTTAACGGACAGCCTAGACTCCAGTTCCCCAAAGGTAGAACAAAACCACCTGGAGGTTTGCTCCCCCTACTACTTTGCTACCGTGAGTCTCCCTCCCCCTCTCCTTTTGGGAAAGTGCTCACTATTGTTTTCTTTTGTAATGGCTTAAAACAGTCCTAAAATCACATTATTTTCTGTGATCAAACAGGAAAATGCAGAAAGAAAACCAAAAACTTAAAGCCCAAACACTAACAATCTTATCTTTGAAAGAGAAAAATGTCACTTCAGATTTCACAGACTTAAATG